CCCCAATAAGTCCCAGACCCGTTAAAAAAGGATTAACCTTTAAAAAGATTAAATCACTATAAAATTTAAAAATAGGAAGTAGTTATCTTTTATGTTTTTATTTTTTATATACCTTTTTTGTACTTAATCCAGTGTTTTCTTACATAACTAATGCTAATTACCATATCAGACTGTTAATGTAAAACAATATACAAATAAACAGAAAGTAAAAATCTTCAAAAAAAAACTAACCACACAGTAAAACATGAAAATCATTCAACATTTTTTCAAGCATTGGGTCTCAGGTGAACCTTTGCCCTTTATTTTATGTAAAGTGATGCAAAATAAAAAAGTTGTTCATACGTTCCATTTTCTTGGCAGAAATCTGGCAAGTTTTTCTTTTGGCTCTAAGGAAAATTAACACTTCCATATATCTGTGGATTTTATGTATTTAATCATTCATTTATTTATTTTACTAAAATATAGGAGTTAAAACACATCCCTTTCATATATTATTTTATTTTAAACTGCTGTACTCTACATAATGCAAAATACATAAAATAATAATGAAGATCATCATTAAAGTACTTATAGGAGGAGTAGCCACAAAATGTCTTCCAGAGTTCTGATTATTGGAACTTGAAATTATTTACATTTATACTATTTTGATATAATTTTTAAAGTTTGTATATACTCTTTTTTCTAAAACATTCTGGTTTACCTCAGTGGAATGTAAATACATTTGTATGACTAAAGAAGTTTGTTTATTTGAAAAAAAATATTGATATTTTATCCCCATGCCATTTTTTATCACAAAATCCAATGCACACACAACTTGTCTGAAAGGAAATTATCTATGCATTACAACAGTGGCACATACTTGACCTTAATACCTAATTGTAAAAATGTATACTAATTTATTGTACAACCACAAAAGAAAACTGTGATGAAATATAATGGTTGCATAGTAACAGTCTGAAAAACACAGGATTATATTGTTAATTTTCATACCAAAGAATAAATACAAGTGTTGTCGTCAGTGTAGCAAAGTAAAATTCAGTATAAGTAAGGAAAATTTATTATAGGAATAAAGCATGTTCACCTTTCAAGTGAGTTTTCATTTAGTTTAGTGAATAAGGTTAAGCTACATGAAAAGAAACTTTGCAAACAATACCCAATCAATTGCAAAGAAAATTGAAAAAACTGAATTTCTGATTGGATAATTGAATTCAGAACATGTTCACCTAATTTACTATGGTAAGTGAAAATTCACCTGGCAATGTGAAACATGCTCTACTCCTTTAAGAAAATACCCCAATGTGTCAAGCCAGAGTACGTGCAGATGTTTCCTTTGTCTATCTCTGCAGCTGCATAATATTACTGTAGAGTATCTGAAAACTGTGACTACTGAGGAAAATTGATTCAAGCATGCAGCTACTACAGTGGATAATATATAGTGAAATTGAAGGAATGAAGAGAAAAAAAACCCTTTAGTCATTTGAACAAGGATGCTTCTGAATTCAATGACAAGTGGGTGCAAGTTGAAAAGGGAAAAATATAAAATGGCAAGAAAAAAAAATGAAATCTATAATCATTAATCGCAAAAATCATGTAAAAATAAAATGCCAAAAAAATTATAGGATCTATTTTTGTAACAAACACTTAGATTTACAGTATATAAGGGCAAATACATAGAATTTTTTTCCTTCTATTTAGAAAAAAATATTTCTTTACAAATGATGTTGAATACAAGGTGTCTAATACTGCAAAGCGAAACAAAAACGAGAAGCGCACCAACCTTGCGCATTACCTCAGTAACCAAAATTTATTAATGCAAAATGATACTCACAAACAGAGAATAAAATCAGGCATGTAAGTCCTCAGAGAGACTTGAAAGATAAGGAGCCAGCGCGAGTCCCATCATGGGAGTAGACACTCAGTACAGCTGACACATTTTCGAAGGGCATCCCTTCTTCATCAGTGCTCTGATGAAAAATAAATTTTGGTTACTGAGGTAATGCGCAAGGTTGGTGCGCTTCTCGTTTTTGTTTTGCTTTGCAGTATTGGTCGGGCTTCCCCAGCCTTGTTTGGAGCTGCACAACTCTATATGCACTAGTGGTCGATTTTTCCGGGTCTGGTTCCATCCATACGCCACCCACCTGGGTCCTAGAGTGCAGGAGAATTTGTTTCTGGTTTATTGACAAGGTTTCTAATGACATTGGATTTCTACAGAAAGAGCATAGCAGCATTACAGACCAACCTGGCAAACATTTGAAAATTAGCCAAAAGCTTCACCTACTGGCTACAAAATAAATACCTTTTTAAATGATATTTTATGTCTTGACTATAAAAAATAAATATGTACAATCATACCATATTACCATATATGTCCTTTAAAGAGAAACATTTTTGCCACAATGTTCTTAATTTTTTTAAGTAAAAATAACATTTTATACAAAATATAATCCTAGGTATGGTACTCCTAAAATGCCTAACTGGCTTATTTAATTTATCCAGGTCATTTTTTAATTAGTTTTGTGAGCTATGCAGTATAAGACCACATTATTTTTGTTTACATTTGGGGGAAAAAAACTAGTCTAGCACTTTGGGTTACAGTGGTTTTTGTTTCTGTTATGGACATCCAATTTGGCATCTTTGGTTTACTCCCATGCAAATGCTATAGGAATGGAAATTGTACATTTTTCCAGTACTTGTCTTACTTTTCACTTAGATTTCTTGGAATTCCTTCTTCAGTTAACATTTTTATTAAGTCATGTGATCATAGGTTCATTAATTGCTCAAAAGCTTGGTTTACATGTATGGCTGTAGTAGAAAAATGCTACTGTATATTTCTGTAAAGCTTATGTATTTCTTTCTAGTTTTTATTTAAAAACATTACTAACAATTATATAGCATAATACTTTTATTTTTTATATGTATATATATATATATATATATATATATATATATATACAGTATATATGACATAATTACAGCAGTGAATGATGTAGCATGCACAAAATATTTATAGGTTGTTAATCATTCCTTGTAATTTAAAACGCATGCTCAAGGAAGATTCACCTGCAGTGAATATCTGCTTTTTAAATACACCCAATAAAAGAAACACTCAGACTTACTAAATAGAGCCATGCCAAATTTAACAAAAATAAAAATGATAGCCCAGGTACATTTGTAAATGTATAGTTGTGTTTACCTCCTTTATACAGTTTATTTTTATAGACTGCATGTAATAACTACATTAACTTATCAAGCAAAACATATTTTAAACTGTTAGATTCCCCCCTCAAAAAATGAATAAGTCAGCTAAACATTGGAGTTGATTTACTAAAGGCAAATACACTGTGCACTGCAAGTGCACCTGCAAATGCACTTCAAGTGCAATTGCTCTAGATCTAAGGGGAAGCTCTGAAATTAGAGGAAGCTCTGCTGATTTCTATCATCCAATCATGTGCAAGTAAAAATGCTTTTTTTTTCTTTTCCTTGCATGTGTTTGGGTATTCTTTGCAATGTCTGATATGAAGAAAAAAGCAACCGAATGCCTAAGCTCCTGCGCTGGACATTGGACTCTACAATGTCAGTATTCCCACATGTGTATGGAAGAAATGCAAGCTGTGCTGCCCTCAACGGACCGGAGAAATCCAGATAGAACTGTATATGAAAAAGACAAAAAAGAGGGCGCACGGGCCAAGTGCATTACCTTTAAAAATGGAATTTATTGATAAAAAGTAAAATACTCAAAAAGAAATCAAATCAAATGGAGAGCATGTCACAAGAAATGAAGCGTGGTCTAATCACCCTGAAGGTGGTCTGGTGGGGGACTGTAAACCTCTAGGTAGTTGATGTCTGACGCGTTTCTAGGCTGTGCCTCTTCCTTAGAGCCATTCTTTGCAAAGTGAAGCTTTACCTCATTTACAAAGCTCTGGAGCAGCTGCACTTGCAGTGCACAGTCTACTTACCTTTAGTAAATCAACCCCATAAAGTTCAATGTTTAATAAACTATTGGCAATCAATCAGAATTCACATTATATATGCTAGGCCAGGGCAAGATGGATTCTGATTAATTGGTAAAGCATGTTTGTTTCTTGCACAATGAAGAAAATCCAGTTGATTTTTTTTCTGCTAAGATGTATCTGGAATGTTTTTTATCAGCAAATAGAAAACTTCATCAGATCACAAAAAAATGACCCATGGAATCTTTGCTCTACTATATTTCTTTGGTGTAAATAATAAACAAAGATCTATTGTTATCTGACTTTTGTTACAAAATTTAGTAAAGTAGTGAAAATGGATATATCTATATTTATATGTGTAAGACTGGATGAACCGTATAATAATCACAATCAGAGAAGAGAAACTGGACAAAACGTATACACATTTTTATATATCTACGGACAGGGAAAAAAATTGTGTCTGGGTTCATATGATTAAGACATGCTTCATGATCAGAAAGCAAAGCATTAAAGAGACATGTCCAGTAAATATAACACATGGGGCAAATGTCTAAAATATAGAACAGAAATTTTAGTAAAACCAATCCAGTGTGTTATAGAGCCCCTTTTCACAGAATCAGTTTTTTTACGAACAATTGATTTAACACATTGACATACAATCGGGAACCATAATACTTAAGTAAGCCACTTATGACCCACTAATTTTTACTATTTGACATTTCCTGTCCAGTAAACAGCAATCAGCAAACCTGCATTGATGGTGCTTTATTTTTCATGTTTGCTGTAAATATATATTATTATTACTACTACTGTCATTTTTATTTTGTAATCTATTATGGGCAAGTATTTGCCTTTTTTTAATAAAAACTGTCACTTTTTTTTATTTTTAGAATTTATAAATCTTAATGATCATGAACTTGGAACATGATTTTTTTTTCTCTTTTCTCTCCCTTTTCTTTCTCTGCTACTGGTTATTGCTCTTTAGTGGTTTTTGGCCAGTTTGTGTTTTTCCAGACGTCTCTCCACGACGTAGTTGAGGTATATGATGGAGCAACTCAACAGTCGCCTCTCTTATCCTCTCTCTCAGGATCACATTCAGGTACTTTTTCTAAGAGATGCCATTGGGTCATTTAACATATGTTTTTATATTTTTGCCTCTTTCAAAATGATTCATCATTAAAGAGATTTCCAACCAGATTTTAAAAAAATGCTGTCATCTCTTAGTCAAGCAGAATGGTGAAGGTGTATTTAGTAAATTCAGCGATATGCAGTTTGAAAGCTTACGGGCTTGTTCACACCATGGTGCAGTTTTTCTGTGCTCATTCTGCAAGGCCAAAATTGATCTCTATGGGCCCTGTTCACAGCACAACTCTAGTATCACATGCAGATTTTTTTCTGCAATGTGTATAACTCATTGAAGAACACATGAAAACTGATGTAAACTGATATCTCTTCAAGTGAAATTTGTACATTCCATCAGTTTTTCTGTATGTATGGAGTGAACAAGGCCTACAGTTGAGAATTCTAAAGTTACAATTTAAAAGGTTGCAATGAATGTAGGATTCGTATAATAAGCAATCACAGTTATATTATTATAATATTGATAACAGTGACAGTAAAAATAAAGTCTTACATTGGAAATAAACCCTTCTATTCTTTTCAGCCAAGGAAGCTGCCATCATAGTCTTTGATCTGCAACTGCCAAGGTGCTGCACATGTGATAAGTTATGACACCAGCCATTTGATGGTTTGACAGTTTGGTGGAAAGCACAAGCAAATGTGACATTAGCATTCCCAGCATTCCAGAGAAGTAACAGGTTTTTTTAAACCATTAAATCAATGGATTTAGTTCCACTTTCATTCCATTTAAAGTGAAACAATCAATTTTGCTTTACAAAATGGTTTTAAAAAATCAGTTACTTTCCTGGTATGTCAGGAATGCTAACTGTCACATTTGCTTGGGCTCTCAACCAAAATGTCAAACTACCAAATGGCTGGTGACCATACAAAACAACCAGTTTAACTATCTTCATTGATAATAGACCACCTCAGAGTTTAACCTTCAGATGTATGTGATCTGTAGATAAATGTTCCCAGGTGTGGGTTCCTTTGCTGAAAGAACAATAAGTATGTTGGAGTTGTGAACTAGTGGAATGCATCTGTCTCAATTACAGCCAAAGTCTCACAAAATCACAAAAAATCAGAAACTAGTATGGTTCTCAGTGATGTTATCCTATCAGAGACAATTTTGATGATAACATGCAGGATAAAGATGTGTTACAAACAAATCTCTCCAGCCTGCAAAAGGCATCATGCCTCTCACTCTGTGCACTAAAACAGAGAGGAAAGTACAATGTTGAACATAATAGTATTTAAAAAAGTAATTAGAATTAGTCAGCTTATAAAAAATTATCAAGGCATTTATTAATCCATTGTACCAAATGAAAACCTTTTATGCCCTTAAATTGTGGAAATTAATTATAAAGTTTTTAACCGCTTGCCCTGCTAAGGATTTACCCCCTTTCCTGACCAGGCCATTTTTTGCGATACGGTGCTGCGTTACTTTAACTGACAAGTGCGCTGTCATGCAATGCTGCACCCAAATTAAATTTAAGTCCTTTTTTTTCCCACAAATAGAGCTTTCTTTCGGTGGTATTGGATAGCGTGTGCGTTTTTTATTTTGTGCGCTATAAACAAAAAAGGCTGACAATTTTGAGAACAAAACAATATTTTTGACTTTTTGCTATTAAACATGTCCAGTAAAAAAAATAAAAAAAATCTAATTTCTTCATAAATTTAGGCCAAAATGTATTCTGCTACATGTCTTTGCTAAAAAAAAATCCCAATACGTGTAAATGAACTGGTTTATGTGAAAGTTATAGCATTTACAAATGGTGGTATATATACTGGATTTTTTTTATTATTAATAATGGCAGCAATCAGCGACTTATAGCGGGACTGCGGGACTGTGGTGGGCATTCTGACACTGGGAGGAACTGACTTGGTGTCACTGACATCACCAGTGACACCAATACAGTGATCAGTGATAATAAAAAGCACTGACACTGCACTAATGGCACTGGGCAGGAAGGGGTTAACATGTGGGGCAATCAAAGGGTTAACTGTGTGCTTTATGCTGTTTCACAGTATGCTATGTGTGCACTTTCCACTTTAAGCACACTGCTTTGTATGGCTCTGTGTGTGCAGGAGCTGACAGCAGAGATACTCGGCAATCACCGGGTGCGGACCCAGTGATTGACAGCTGAGGCCGCGCATGGTGGCGCAGTAGTGTGTATGTGCCCCTTACTCGGAATGGCAAAATCACGTATATATACGTGATTTTGCACACCCGTGCCGCCCTGTGGTAGGATTTCTGCTATAGGGCAGAACAGAAGCAGTTAATAGCTCTAAATTTGGTTTGGACAACTGCATATCAAAACCTCTGGCCAAGAGACTGTTAGGAAATAAACAAGTCAAAGCGTTCCTAAAAGATGAAAGTCTTCGCCACCACAGTTCACACAATTTTCAGCAGCCACTAAATAAGATGATTTTGTATAAAAAAAAATAGAGCAAAGTCAAAAAAAAAAAAAAAGAACAACCTAGAAGACTTGAATTGATCTCAAATTCCTCATTGTTTAGCCATTCCAACTGTTACTTCAAACTCAATCTTTTAAAATAAAGTGGTAAGCATATAGAAATAAATCACATATTTACCTTTAAGATCAATCCTTAATGTAGAATTCCAGGCTTTATCTAAGCATGAAATTGCTCCCACCTCCCTTTTAACTGACATTTTAACTATGCTGTAGAAGAAAGATGCTTATACTTACCTATTCTCAAGGTGCTCTGGTCCAGTCACATGATCTCCCTAGCACCCAGCGTCAGTGGAGAGATCACCAACAATAGCTGCAATGCCTGTGTGGTGATGCATCCAATAGACTTACTATGGGGCATTGGTCGACAACTGTCCCTCCTCCATCAACCGATGCTGCCATTGGTATCATGTGACAGGACTGGAGCACCTGAGAATAGGTAAGTATAAGCATCTTTCTTCTACAGATCGACCCTCCTAGTTATTAAGACCCAGAAAAATTAACAATATTGTAGATTTTTTTTTTACAACAATCAACATTCTGCTCTTCGAAGAGAAGCCAGCATATGGTAATAAAATAACATGCTTTTTATGAAAAGTAAAATCCCTTTTCTGTGAGTCTGAAATCACAGAATAGAGTGATGATTATCAACAAGATCATATGCAAAGTGCTTTTTTATATTTTATTTTATCTGCATATAACATTCTTATCCACAACACAATCAGACTTCAACAATTGTTGGCTTGTTAATAAATTTTGTTTTATTTATTCTGTTGAGTAGGAGAGTCGCTTCCACTAAGTTCTGGTAACCAGATTATTGTTAGATTTACAACTATTGGACCATTGACATCGAAAGGATTTCACTTTGTCTATCAAGGTAATTACATATGTAGCTTTAACAATACATAGAATATGTATTGTATTTGAAGCTTTCTATTTAATACATATTGGTCATATATGTCCATAACTACCTGTAGATCACTACAGTAATGACATAGTTTAAATTTAGTTCCTCAGTTTTATTGCATTAAGTCTTGTCTTTCAATATGTCTTTTTTTCAATATTTATTTTTTCAACAGAACATTGTGTAAATAATATCAGGGTTTTTATAAGTCCGAATAGAGCGATGAACTCCACAATGTATTTGATTAGTTTGTCAATACCTATTGGGTGAAGCATGTCATAGTCATTCAAAGTGTATGGTGAACAAGCAGTACATTGGATATTAATCTTGATTAGAACAAGAAATGTTTTCTAATCTAATGAAATGCTAATGATTTTTAGAAATCAACATTAAAAGTCAAACATTTAAACTTTTTTAAATTTTACGAATACAAGATTTATTTTCTCTTTCTTTCTTTCTTTCTTTCTTTCTAGCTATTAGTATAGAGCAGGGGCGGACTGACCATATGGAAACTCAGGCACTGCCCGAGGGCCCAGGGTCAGTAGGGGGCCCCATGAGATGCCCCTAGTACCTTTTTCATAGGCTTTTTTGAGTTTGGGCAAGGACACAGGGGCCCCATGATCCCCTATTGCCCGAGGGCCCCATGAGTTGTCAGTCCGCCCCTGGTATAGTGAGCAGTGCCGTTATTTCTGGTCACATGCTCCTCTCTATTTGTTCTTCAATTCCCATAGAGTTGAATGTGTCTGCAGATAGATGTGTAGACCCTCTTGAGGGCAAGCAGGAAAGGGTGGCTACATTCACATACTCAAGGGGAGTATGGAGAACAAACATAGCAATCCTAGAAAAGAATATCTGAGAACAGCAGAAAAAAACTTTAAGAGAGTGTATAAGAGATGAAAAAAGGGTCAGCGAAATAGTACATTCTATGAATATTTTAACATATTTTTTATTTTAGTTAAAAAATTAATTTAGTGACAATTTAAACAATTTAATCAGGTTTCACAACTGTCTTCTATGAACTACATAACCACACCTCCTTATGCAATAGAGATGAGGAGAAATAAAGGGATTTGTAGTTCAAATCAGAAGCGCAGGGGGACAATGCTGCTCCCCTATTATACAGTGCAATACATGGGCATTGCCACCCTAGGGCAACAAGTGTGTTCACCTGGCAGGATCACCAGGTGAAAATACAGGAAAATTCAGGGGTTTTTTTTCAGTTTAGATGCACATTAAGGTATCCTTAGACAAAAATGTTTGTGAATGATACAGAATGTTACTTTGATAAGTAACCAAAGAATGTGCAGATTACAAACAATATATACAACCTTGGGGCAAAATTAACTGTTGAATAGCAGCTGAATGTGTACATCAGTCTGTCAATATCGACATATTGCATTAATTGTATGATAAGTACATACATTATGTGTTGAGCATGCTGTTGATCTTTGGGCACTGGGACCATTGTGTCCTCTCCCCTTCTTTCCTCAAGCCCATTGTAGTACTCAATAGATATTAGCCAATAGCCACACAAGGAACAATTGTGATTGGATTATCATCTGGGATTCAGGCGTTGTTTGGTTGGCACTGTAGGAATAGTGTGCTTGTTTTGAATTATAGTGCTGAAAAAAATTCAGTTAAATCTGCATGCATACATTTAATTCAAAACGGTTTCTTTTGCTGCTGTTCTTTAGGTCATACTGTATATTGGCTTTTCAGTGGGAAAATAATTCTATATATTTCCAGTGCACTTTTACATAGGCTAGCTACAGATGGGAAAAATGTATTCCATGTGGCAAAGGTCTGACAAAATGATCTATGTGTAGAGAATTGTAATGGCTTTTCAAAAAGGAACACAAGTGCTATTTGTTAATCTATTGTTTTCCTGAAAAGGATCGTGTGTCTTAGTGATACTGCAGATTTTACACTGCAAACCCACTACTTACTTCTTTTAAAATCAATTCTATTTAGAAAAAAAAAAGTATCCCGAGCCTGATCTTGATCCAGCACTGTGCCCGTCTGCAGCAGCTCCCTCCTCTCTCTAAGATCACAAATGCAGCAGTGGGAGCCATTGGTCCCTGATGTTATCAATCAAATCCTGTGAGCAGAATGTAGAGGGCATAGCTGAGCTACACTGTGTGAGTCAAAAATGTGCACAGCTCCGTTCGGGAGTGAGCACTCCCATGGGGGCACTCCCAGAGGAAGTGTCTTCCTATGGTGGCACACTGAGAAGAGGAGGAGCCCAGACCACCAGCAAGTGAAGAGGAGGTTCAAGTCCACTTTGTGCAATACCATTGCACAGAGAAGGTAAGTATGACATGTTTGTTATTTTAATAAAATAAATTAAGCTTTATAATGAATATCTCTTGAAAATATATATTTTTTAACTTTAGCTGTAAATTTTCATGCATACTACCATGACCCACAAAAAAAACACAACATAAATCTCCTAATTGTCCTACTTATGAAAATCTAAAAATAAAATTGTGTTGGACTTTACTGGCATGAAAGGGAACACACAATGTGATTCATAAATCACATTGTGTGTTCCCTTTCATGCCAGTAAAGTCCAACGCAATAAATGTTTTTTTTAGATTTTCATATGTATACACGGATGTGGCATTTGAGTAGAATACAGGTGAAACTCGAAAAATTAGAATATCGCGCAAAAGTTCATTTATTTCAGTAATGCAACTTACAAGGTGAAACTAATATATGAGATAACTCATTACATGCAAAGCAAGATAGTTCAAGCCGTGATTTGTCATAATTGTGATGATTATGGCTTACAGCTCATGAAAACCCCAAATCCACAATCTCAGAAAATTAGAATATTACATGCAATCAATAAAACAAGGATTGTACATAGAACAAAATCGGACCTCTGAAAACTATAAGAATGCATATGTACTCAGTACTTGGTTTGGACCCCTTTTGCAGCAATTACTGCCTCAATGCGGCGTGGCATGGAAGCTATCAGCCTGTGACACTGCTGAGGTGTTATGGAAGACCAGGATGCTTCAATAGCGACCTTCAGCTCTTCTGCATTGTTCGGTCTCATGTCTCTCATCTTTCTCTTGGCAATACCCCATAGATTCTCTATGGGGTTCAGGTCAGGCGAGTTTGCTGGCCAATCAAGCACAGTAATCCCACGGTCATGGAACCAGGTTTTGGTGCTTTTGGCAGTGTGGGCAGGTGCCAAGTCCTGCTGGAAAATGAAGTCAGCATCCCCATAAAGCTCGTCTGCGGGAGGAAGCATGAAGTGCTCCAAAATCTCCTGGTAGACGGCTGCATTGACCCAGGACTTAATGAAGCACAGTGGACTAACACCAGCAGATGACATGGCTCCCCAAATCAACACAGACTGTGGAAACTTCACACTGGACTTCAAGCATCTTGCAGTGCGTGCCTCTCCATTCTTCCTCCATACTCTGGGTCCTTGGTTTCCAAATGAGATGCAAAAGTTGCTCTCATCAGAAAAGAGGACTTTGGACCACTGAGCAACAGACCAAGTCTGTTTTTCTTTAGCCCAGGTAAGACACTTATGACTTTGTTTGTTGTTCAGGAGCGGCTTGACAAGAGGAATACGACATTTGAAGCCCATGTCCAGGATCTGTCTGTGTGTGGTCGCTCTTGATGCACTAACGTCAGCCTCAGTCCACTCCTTGTGAAAGTCCCCAACACTTTTGAATGACCTTTTCCTGACAATCCTCTCCAGGCTGCGGTCATCCCTGCTGCTTGTGCACCTTTTTCTTCCACACTTTTCCCTTCCACATAACTTTCTATTAATGTGCTTTGATAGAGCACTTTGTGAACATCCAACTTCTTTTGCAATTACCTTTTGAGGCTTTCCCTCCTTATGGAGGGTGTCAATGATGGTTTTCTGCACAACTGTCAGGTCAGCAGTCTTTCCCATGATTGTGATTCCTACTGAACCAGACAGAGACCATTTAAAGGTTCAAGAACCCTTTGCAGGTGTTATGGCTTAATTAGCTGATTAGAGTGGGATACTTTGAGCCGAGAATATTGCACCTTTTTACAATATTCTAATTTTCTGAGATTGTGGATTTGGGGTTTTCATGAGCTGTAAGCCATAATCATCACACTTATGACAAATCACGGCTTGAACTATCTTGCTTTGCATGTAATGAGTCTATCTCATATATTAGTTTCACCTTTTAAGTTGCATTACTGAAATAAATTAACGTTTGCACGATATTCTAATTTTTTGAGTTTTACCTGTACAGTAACTGTGCTACCTAAACACACTGACACTAACACTCACACTGGCACAAATATAATTCCATTTTTTTCCTACCTAAAACACACTGACCCTCACACTGCCACTAACTGCCACTTACACTGACACAAACTGGCATTTATACTGACACTAACATTGGCACTCACTGATCAAGCCTTCATCTAGTTAATACTTATTCATTTATTTATTTTCAACAGATATTTGTTACAGGCTTCTCCTCTAACATGGAGAATAAGATTCAATGGGGTGTATTTACTAACGCTGGTTCACTCAGAATCTGGTGCAGCTGTGAATGGTAGCCAATCAGCTTTTAACTTCAGCTTGTTCAGTTAAGCTTCAGCAATGAACCCTGTAAGCTGACTGGTTTCTATGCAGAAGTGCACAAGATTCTGAGTGCACCAGCTTTAATAAATAAACCCCAATGCATCTTTTCTTCATCACAGAGGAGAAAGAGGAGAATGGGCCTTCACAGTAGTGGTCACTGTGATTGGTTAATCACAGTGATTACAGTGATCACATAAATCAGGAGCAAGTTCTCCTAGCTCCCCCAGTAGTTAGATCAAGATTTGGAACTGTCGGTAACAGCTTGGACTCATTGATGGGAGAGATCTTGCATGCTACAAAGTAATGTATGTATGTGGCACCCAGGAATAACTCCTAATTCTTGGACTCTGTATGTAGGTGTTATGTGGTCTTAAAAAGGTTGACAATA